ATGGCACCTGCCAATTAGCTCCTGCTAATTACTGCAGAGAAGAAATGGCAGGTGTGGCCTGCCTTCCAATTTTTGCAGGTATTGTGGTTAGATTTTGTTGTTTTTAATTAACTTGACAGGAGCCAAGATATCAACTGAGAAAATGGCCTCCATCAGATTCGCCAGTAGGGAAACTCTGGGCATTTTCTTGATTAACAACTAATGAAGGATGCTCCAGCTCTCTGTGGGTGATACACCCCTGAGCAGGTGGTCCTGAGTATATAAGAAAGTAAACTGAGCAAGCCAGGAGTAGCAAGGCAGCAAGCAGCATTCCTCCATGGTCTCTGCTTCAGTTCTTGCCTTGAGTTCCTGCTCTGACTTTCCTTCATGATGGACTGCAACTATAATCAGAAATCAATCCTCTTCTCCTTAAGTTGCTTTAGAAAGCAATCCACGATAGAAGGGAAGCTAAAATCCAGAGTATTGTGAAAAGGCTCTCTAAATGGAGGCTTATTAAAAAAAAAATAAAAACAGATAAATGAAAATACCTATATATCAAATATGGCTCTAAATCTCAATTATGATGTTGGCCCCAGTTGGAGTACCACCACTGAGAATCTTCAAAGACTGTGAGGTGGTTAGACCTGCTTGTTACAGAGGCCTTTTATCATGCCATGGAGGATGCCTGGGGGAGGAAGAATGAAGGCAGGAGGGTGATCAGCTAAGTGATGATCAGTCCTTCATCTTCTGGGGCTGGTAATTTTCCAAAAGAGAGACAAGTCTCCCAAATAAGCTTCATACTAGAGCTGGAGGCCAATCAGGTTTGTATAAAACCCAAGCCAAACCAGGAGTGGTGGCACTCACCTGTGATCCCGGCACTTGGAAGGTAGTAACAGGAGGGTTACACCTGTGATCCCAGCACATGGACAGTAGTAACAGGGGGATCACACCTGTGGTCCCAGCACATGGAAGATAGTAACAGGGGGATCAAGAGGAGTTCAGGAATTCAGTCATGTTCAGCTCAACAGTGAGTCTGTGGCCAGCCTGGGCTAAACTGTTTCAAACAAACAAAACAAGGAAAAAGACAAAACCCAGGAGTATAAAGTCAAAAATGACAGTTCTTTAGATGGTTCACAAATGGTAGGGCAGCCACTATAGAAGAGAAGTTACACAGTGTACTGTAACCGTCATGCTTTTGGTACACTTGGAGCCTGGAAGTGACCAGGAAGCGACACAGTAAACCCTGTGTTTAGAACTAGGTTTTGTTACCATTTTAAAGAAGCTTTTCTGCCATTCATCCTATGTCCTGCCTTGGGTCCTGTGTATGTTTCCAGATGTTTTCCCAACCTCATCCATTGAATTCTGTTTGTGACAGAACAGAATTCAAGCCTCTCCTGTGGTCCTTCTGCTTCAGTCTGAAAACTGCAGGAGAACACCTTCATCGTACGCACTTCATCCACATTCCTGGAACCTCCTCCTTTCTTCCAAGCTCCCTCATTTCAACTTAGACTCCTGTATTATTGGGCATATTTGTCTTCCTCTACTAGACAGTTAACACTTCTGAGAGCAAAAATACTCAATTATCTCTGCATCACAGCATTTCTGTAACACCCCAAATGAACAACGCCACAGCAAACATCTAATGGATGTTGGCTTGGAGAGAAAAATGTCTTATTACTTAATAACATTCAGCGCTTAGGAAAACTCGGAAAGCATGCCTTGGAACCCAGCAAAAGCATTTACTTACAGAAGTGCCTACAGCCTCGCTCGGGCAGGCCTGAGTCAGCTTTACGCAGAAACTCAACATTTTGAAGGTAGACAGGCAGCAGGAGGAGCCTTGCTTACTCCAGTGTTCAAATGCTACGTGTCAGCAGCAGCAAGGCATGCAAAGCATGTCTGCTGCAACGCCAACGGCACAGACGTGCCGCTTTACGAACCGATCTTGGCTGCTAGCTAACCTGTCCTACCCACCAAGAAACTCATCTGAGGCCACGCTGTCTAGGAGTCTAGATGACAGTCACATGGTCCCTTCCTGTGAGTGCCTGGTGAAGGTCACTGGACAGTATGTATAGTCATCACTAACCCAGGGCAATCCTTGCCAGAAGCACTCAGCTTAATGAATCCAGATAGCAAGGTTCTTTACCTCAGAGAATCACAGAAAAACAAACAAACAAACAAACAAATAAATAAAGAAATAAAGGTATTAGGTATGCAAACCAGCACTGTGCACCAGGTTCAGACACGGTTGGCTGATTAGGCTGAGGAATGGGAAGAAAACCAAATTTGATTGCTTATCTTAATAGTCACAAATAAAAGACAACCTGAATCGTCAGGTTCTGTTTTGAAAAGAGAAGCCCCACTGAAAGCTGCAAATGTAAGGAATACCTGGAGGGAAGGAGGAACTGCCTGTCCATGCACTGAAGAGGTTTTTAGGTTTCATGATGTAGCTTTTTAAAGTTGGTTTTGTTCTTTTGAGATAGGGACTCTTTTAGCCCCCGGCTTGCTTCACCCTCCCTATGTAGCCAAAGATGACCTTGAACCACAGATTCTGTGGATTATAGTCATGGGCCACCACACCCAGTTTATGTTATGCTGGGAACTGAACTCGGGACTTCATGCTTTCTGAGCAAGTACTCTGCCACCACTTTTATTTTTTATTTTTTTAAGTAGTCCAGGCCTTGTATCTCACATTTGCTATATAGCTGGGACTGGCCCTGAACTCCTTCTCCTCCTGTTTCTACCACAAGGCCTAACCCTGTTTGGCACTAGTACAAAGTAAAAACGGGTGAGGCAGAGACAATACAAATCTATGTCACAGCTCTACAGACCAGAATTTGCTGTCCAGTAAAGTAATCATATGTGACGACTTGGATTTAAGCAGGCCAAAAACCATAGATCACTTTCTCGGTTGTTCTAGTTCTATTTCAAAGGCTCTGTAGCCACACGTGTCTAAAGGCTATCACACTGGACAGTGCAGAGATGAAATGCTGCTGCCAGTTTCTGACAGTCAGATGCCTGAAGAGAGCTGAGAACCAAAGCCAAAGCACTTTTACCATTAAGCCTAACCAGAGAGAGATACCCAGAACTGTTCCTTGGCCCGTTGTGTTGCCTGAGTCACAAATGACAGACACATAGGAATGTAAAGAAACTCTGGTCACCTCTATTAGAATGAAATCCTTCCCACGCACCCCCACATCATTCTTCACCATTGTGTGTGTGTGTGCCTGTGTGTGTGTGTGCCTGTGTGTGCGTGTGTGTGTGTGTGTGTGTGCCTGTGTGTGTGTGTGCCTGTGTGTGTGTGTGTGTGCCTGTGTGTGTGTGTGCCTGTGCCTGTGTGTGTGTGTGTGTGCGCGCGCGCGAGCACGCAGACATAAAAAGCAATAAATGGCAGAGGATCAGGAACTCCTTGATTTAAGACTCTTGGTGCATAAATTGCTAAAAACAAACAAACAAACAAACAACCCCAAACATTTTTAGAGTACTGACTTGCCCCTTTCTCCTTTTCTTTTAAATAAAATATGCAAGGGCAGCTCTTATTTGGAAGGGAAGTTAAAAAAAAAAATCAAAACAGAACAAACAAAAGAAAGAGCCAGGAAGCAAAAGTCATGAAAACTACCAAGAACAAAGTGGGTAGCTATCCTAAGTGATCACTTCAGGGCACGCAAGGCAAGAGACAGGGATCCAAAACCTTTTAACAAGTACACCTCTCAAATTCGTCATCTGCATTAGCTCCCAGTTCCCGACCCCTGGGAGGCTGCATGGTCTGCTGCTGACCACTTCGAGTGTTTTTGCTGGGAGCAGCAAAGACTCAGCGGTCAACTCACAAGCGGGTGGATGAAGAGGCACCTTCCCTCAACAGCAGCGACTGAATTTCTGCTGTCATGTGGTCTTCAGACAGAAGCCCCGGCAAAGAACGGGATTCAACTACGGTGATGAGATTCTTTTTAAAACGGAAAGCAAACCATACTTTTGGGTTTAAAGCCGACAGTGCAAACGAGACATGACTCACTTGAGAAGCAGGAACACACAGCAATAGTGGCTGGCGGGCTCTGCTTAAATCATCTGAGGCTGCCATGCTGGGCTGGTGCCCCGAGCCACACTATGGACATTTTGATAATGTCAGTGACAGGATACTAGCTGAAACCCAATCAGCTCATAAAAGTAACGAGATTGGTACCTCCTCTGCTAGAGAGAACAGCTTGCATATTTCGAGGAAGACAGCTACAAGAATCAGGATGCTGGAAAACTTGAGTGCAAGCCTGAAAGCCCTTCTTCAAAAATGCATGAGAGTGGTTACGAGACAACACCCTCGATGGAAAGGTACTAGGGGCTCAAGCCTGACCAGCTGCTGTGTGTCATCAGCAGGAGAAAACACTGCAAGACTCAGACGTCTGTCCGTCTTCTGTACCCGTCTGAGCTGCTACATAGCTCAGCGGCAGCTGTGTGCTATTAGACTCACAGCGCTCTCCCTTCTCCCCGGCTCTGCCCTCTGCAGTTGGCTGTGGAAGTTTGCATTTCTTTCCTTCTCCCTCAGCGTTTCAGTAAAGGAGACCCAGAAGCAACCTTATCCTCTGCCCATCTTTTTTAAAAACCACTTCACCTAATCCATGCTTTCTGCAGATAAGCTCATTTCGCTGAAGGAAATGAAAATGACCTGATGTGCCTACAGGAAAGTGAGGGTGTTGTTCCTTTAAACCCCTCAAAGTCAGGTTTCTTCCCCTGGATCAGGCCAGGAGTCTCTGGTCCCTGATTAAGCGAAGGAGTAGACATTGAAGACATTTATACTAGGAAAACAGTTTAGGTCTTAAAAAGTAACTGACTTGCAAGAGACTACATCTATAAAAGTTATTTCCAATTCAACATACTGCACCTACGAGTGTGGAAACACGACCAGCAAGCTGTGTCAGGTTGTGAAGCCTCTGAGAAGCAGGCGCTGTGAGTACCGTTCGGAACCTGTGCTCTAAGCAGTGGAAAAACAGTGCTGGATCCGGCTCCAGTGAAAGAGTAAGGCTAATGCATACCTTTGGGTCTTCTGGAATTTCCATTCTTTTGCAGCTCATCTTCCTCATTAATGGTGAATAGACCAAGGGGAATTGTCCTTGCATGGGTCTTCTTCAGTCTCTCTTGTCGGAGAGCTGCAGCTGATCCAGGCATACCGCTGCTACTTGTCCAACAATTATATTAAATATATATGCTTATGTAATTGCAGCTCCCGGGAAGCTGCTAGTTCCTAGGCTGCAGGTTCATTTGAGCACTTGTAATGGATCCCCTATGGGTAAACAGTGTGCAAACAGCTGACAGATACTACCAGCTACTTGGCAACTGAGATCCTGCAGCTCCCCCTCACCTAGCAGCAGCCCCCTCCCACTCACTCCCCCCAATAGGCACATGCGCTGGTGAGTAAACACTCTCACATGCACGCACAGAGCGCACGCGCGCACACATACCCATTCCAGGACTCTATAAAGTCTTTGGCTCAGATGCTTCCCTCGGACTGCCTAACCTGTTCAATCAGACCCCAGCTTCTCCTTCCTGCTGTGGCGCTTTCCCCAGTCTTCTCTTTGCTTCTGCACAGCAAAACATTCCGCATACAGCAGAGGGCAAAAGATGACAAGATGCCTGCTGTGAACAGTTGCCCAGACAACCCTGACACAGCGTAATCACGGAAGGCTGGGAGCAGCTCCGGCTCCAGCTGCCCTGGGATGCACAGTCCCCGGAACTCGCCAGCACAGGCTTAGTTGCAGCGGGCAGGAGCTCCCTCTTCCTCTGGACGCCAGAGCACAGGGGCAGGCTTGGTGGAGGGGGAGAAACAGAATTTTGCCTGCACAAGCAGCAGCCAATTCTTCGGGAAGGAGAGGGGAGAGTGAGACAGGAAGGGTTCTCCATCTTCGCCACGCTGGGTGGTCTGTTAAGTAAGGAAGGGACAAGGCTGCCTCACCCTCCTGACATTGTCTGTATAGGTGCAGCCATGGTGGTGTCTGTCATGATGTACATTGTTTTCCATTTTCAAAGTGTTTTCAGTGCACCTATAAACTCTCTCAGAATACTTTTTTTTTTTTTTTTTTTTTTTTTTTTTTAACTTGCACTCTGCCCACTGCTGGGTATAATGGCTTGGCAAATCCCGCTGGAATGAATAAATCCTCAATAATGTTTCCCTTCAAAGGTTTGGGGATTTAATTAAGTTGATGCCCATTCAGATCTCAAACTAGTAAAATGCAAGGGAAAACTGTGTTGACCAATGCGCTACATGTTTACTCAAGAGTAGAATGTGGTTCCAGTACTTTCACGGAGGGTTCACAAGGTCTCGAATGCTTCTCAGGCATGAAGGACAACAGCAAAGCAAAAGCTGTGGAGTTTAATTTGTCCACATAAGACAACAAACTTCACCAAGAAGGAAGAAATGATAGGGCACAGGGTCCCGCTGGACACTGGAACCAAGCTATTACCCACCATGTCCAACTGATTAGTGGCTTTCCTTTTTGTGTCCACATCGGGGGATAGCATCCAACAAGAGTGGATTCTTCACTCTCTAGCCTGAGAGGTCATGAGATCTGATTCATACCAATGTGTGAAAATCACCTAAGTGAAGTCTTTTGTTTTCAACATTATAAGCAATCCCTGGCAACCTTTACCTTTACACGAAAGCCTGACTGAGGGGTGCCGGAAGACACCTACAAAGAGACCATGAGTCCAAGTCAAAGGACAAAGCCAGAGCCCACTGACTGGAACACTCAGCTTCACTAGAGCACAGGCTGTGCTGGGCTCACTAGAAATGCCACCACTGCCTGCCTGACAGGAAATGGGCATAGAGAGTCCCAACTCAGAGAGCCAGCTGGGTCACTGAGTCAGAATTAAACCCACGACAGCTGCCCAGGAGGCAAGATGCTTCTCTCCTGGGGCCTGGTGAATCCTGACTCTGACACCAGCCAGGTCTGTCACAGCCACAGCTGTGGTCAGTCACAGGGAGGCAGCCTGACCTCGGATAATGATAACTTCGAGCTTCCCTTTCCTGCCCATGAAGTACGCATCCTACTGCTGAGTCACCACCCACGCCAGCGTGAGATCAATTTCTTAAATGTTCCCATCAATCTCTGATATGGGAGCTTGCTCTTACACAATTCTGAGGCTCGAGCTCTCTTCATTTCACACAGACATACATTTTATATCAGTTTCCCTTTGTGAGCACGTGGGTGTGTGGTGGAAGCATATGCTTACACGTGCAAGTGCATGTGGAGACTGGAGGTTGACAGGAAACTGCCTTCTCCAATCGCCGTCCACCTTACTTTTGAGGCAGGGTTTCACCGAACCCGGAACTCAGCATTTCAGTTAAACTGGCTGGGCAGCGGCTCCCGGGATCTGCCTGTCTCTATCCTCTCACTAACGAGGTTAAGGACACGGGCTGCCATGGCCAGCTTTCATGTGGATGTTGGGGCTCTGAACCGAGGTCCTCATGCTTGTACAATGAGCATTTTGTCTGGTGAGTCGTCTCTCCAGCCTGGGATCAGTTTCTTAAGTGTTCCAGTGCAATCCTGAATGGACAGAGCAGCTTGTTCCTGCAGCTTCAGAACTGGACCCCTCAGGGGCACAAGGTAACTACCATCTTCATGCCAACTCCCTTGGCTTTCATACTTTGGTTCTCGATGAAGGCAAATATGAGAAGGGGATGGCAAGACCTTAAATTTAAATATTCCTTGGAGTAAAACGGGCCCCAATCTGAAGGCCTGAAACTCCTCCTTGGCTAACTCCCTTTTAAGCCATTAATTAGAGATGGGATCTGGCTGTGTAGCTGAGGCTGGCATGGCTCTTCCAATGAGCATGAGTTGGAACTCCGAATCCTCCTGCACCAGGCGCCCAGGGTGCATGCGATGGTGAGCCACAGGAGTGCGCTACCTCATCCTGCTCCGATTCACTGTCCTGTGACTATCCCTGCACGCCACCTGCACACAGAGTCTTACGTCAGTCCTGGGGGGAGGGGAGGAGAGCATGTGGGCCGTTGCTTTCTTGAAATTGTTAAAACAGTGCAGTAGTAAAGGCTTTGTATAAACTTGAGGCAAATGAAACACTGAAATGGGGTAGATTTTACAACTTACACCAGCACTATTCAGAAAGAAAAAAAAAAGCAATAATCGTAAGATATATGCTCAAAGGTTTAAAACAAAACAGAGCTAGGTATGCTGGCAAGAGCCTACAATCCCAGCACTTGGGAGGCTGGGACAGAAGGATCTGAGCATCGAGAGCAGCCTGGGCCAGACAGTGAGGCTCTGTCTCCAACAGAGTAAGCACAGTGGCGCTGTGAATTCCGCTACACTGTTCTCCCTTCCCGGCTGGCTGCCCTGGCACCGATGGCCGTGCTCCAAATCCTCAGGTGGAAGAACATGGAACAGAGCCTGCCTGCTGATGCTCAGAGAAGGCGGCTCACGACGTGGACAAGGCTGCAGCAATGCTATACAGGGGCTGAGCATGTGCAGCCAGCCGTGTGTGCAAGCACAGCCACGTGATGTTCACATCGATGCTGTGAGCAGATAATTAGAACATAACAGAGCCCATGAGTGGACGGAAATCTCCCTAATCAGTGAGAAGATACCTACGGCTTTCCTTTCTAAAAGCCTACTGAGCTTCATAAAACTGTGTTACACAGGCAGAAAGCCTAAATTGAACTATTCAAGGACTGTGCTTAAAAACAGAAATTATCTCCATTGGGTTGAGTGGCTGCCGCTGGTAAATTATAAGTTCTGTGTGTGTGTGTCTGTGTTGTTTACTTTTCAGTAGAGCTCAGAAGTATCAAAATTCTTTTTGATATTTTTCTTATTAAATGAGGTGATTAATCCTTGAAAACCACCAAATTTAGTAAGTTTTAAAGTATTTGATGTATTCCCCCCTCGAGGTAAGCCGTAATTTACTTCCAGCAGGAATCTTTAGAAATCCCCACTTGAATGCAAGTTTAAAACCTCACATGGCTTGAAAGTAGCAAAGCTAGCATGGGTTGACATGGGATCAAGACACCTCCGAGGAACAAAGGGGCCAGCCATTTCCATCCTTGAAGTTAAGGGGCTCCCTCAGTTTCCGAGGACGCCTTCTGTGGTAACAAAGGCGGGAGACTCTGCCCTCCTGCAGCATTATAGCTTCTGAGAGACACAAAGGGCGCTGCACAAAAAGACGCTGACCCTCTGAAAGGAAAATCAAACGGCAGGTTTTGCTTTGATCTTCTTTATTTGACCACCTTTTGTGAATGCCTGGGCATAGGAGAGAAACCCATACACACTACATTGGCAGTGGCAAAGCCATCAGCCAAGAAGTGCCAGAGCCCCGCAGTGCCTTTTGTAACACTGAGCCCTTCACAGTGCCAATGGAACACATTTCCCATGACTGTTCTGCCATGGCCAAGTGTATGGCTGTAAGGTGTATACTAAAGCTTTCTTTGACCCTTCCTGTCACCTAAGGATCACTAGGCAACTTAGGGATATTATCAAATGCCGCATTAAACTTTAACCTAGGCGCATGCTACAATGCTTCTTGCCCTCTTGCTCATGATTCTCATTAGTGATACTTTAGGAACACACGTCACATGGACTTCTGAACTTGATAAGAACTGTGTGTGGAAGGGCCTCTCCTCTAATAGTGACCTCTTCCTGGAACAGGCATCCAATTGGGGGGGCACTGATGAGTGGGGGCTCAGTGCTTAAGAATTTCTACTACTTCTGTAGAGCAGGTAGGTTTGACTCCCAGCACTCCAGTGCCTAACTCCAGCTCCCTGGAATCTGATGCCCTCTTCTGGACTCTGTTCCACCCACACTCACGGGCACATACTTAAGTGCCAATGCACACATACACATATAATTCAATAACAACAATAGCAGTAGTAATAATAAATCATTAAAGAAGGGGTCAACCTGACAGGCAGTAAAATGGAGCCGCAATAGCACGTGGGTGGCCAACCGACTCACTGCGCGCATAGAGTGACGAGGGGTAAAAACCCTTCATTAAGTGACAGCACACTCAGAAGAAAGCAGGCTCACGAGCAGCGCTGTGCGGCTTGTTCACAAGTTCCTTCTTTGAGCACAGAAGATCCGGGGATAACAGAATCAGTGTTAACATGTGGAGGAATTGCTACCCCCCCCCCTTTTCATAGCCCAGGCTGTTATGTGTTTAACTACGTAGCTCAGGCTGGA